TCTCCTGGTTATTAACCCAAAGTCACCTAGCTGGCTTTTATGTGTAAGACGGGACTAGAATTCACCTTCTCCTGGTTATTGACCCAAAGTCACCCAGCCGGTTTTCATGCCCAAGTCGGGACTAGAACTCACCATCTCCTGGTTTCCAGTCTGGTGCCTTATCTGCCAGATCAAACTCTTCATCTACCCCTTCTCTTTCTCTTCTCAATTTACCTTCACTCCCTTTCTAAATTGGTGCCACCAGCGGTAGAGAGCGGGAGGTCTCCCCCAGAAAAGATCCAGGATGGGTGGGCTGTCCATGCCTCCCGAGATGACGTTGGGCTCAGACCCGCCGGAGGGAAAACCGGCGTTCCGCTGGTCTTTGGTTGGCCTCAAGAGTTCGAGGCCTTCGTTGCGCAGCTGCTGTATGTTTCTTCCTCCTCTTCTCTGCAGGACGTGGCCCGTCTGATAGTGGAGCGTTCCACCATCATGTCTCACCTCTTCTCGAAGCTCTCCTACTGCTTGGAGTCCGACTCCGTGTTGGTGGCTCTGCTCTCCATCTTCTCGCGCTACATCAAGCGCATGCGCCAGACCAAAGAAGGCGACGAGGTTTACAACTGGGTGAGTGTCCCTCTCTCCTCTCCCCGCCGTTGGTCCTATTTTTCCTTTCACCTTCTAGGGCAGGGTTTCTCTACCTCTGCAACTTGAAGAAGGGTGGACTTCAACTCTCAGAATTCCCCGGCTACTTCAGGAACTCTGGGAGTTGAAGTCCATACCGTCTTAGTTGAATGGAGAATTCTGGGAGTTGGAGTCCACCCTTCTTAAAGTTGCTGTCCGTTTCTGTTCTAGTCGGAGTCCCAAGATCAAGTCTTCCTTCGCTGGAGTGGAGGAGAAACCGCCACGATGCACATCCTGGTGGTCCACGCCATGGTGATTCTGCTGACCCTCGGACCCCCTCAAGGTGAAGGAAGGCTTGCTGTGCAAGCGACCCACAGGGTGGGAGTTTCTATAGCCCACAGGTGCTGGTTGTAGAGGTAGTCCTCAGCTTAACGGCCACAATTGAGCCCAGGGTTGATGTTCCTGTGTGAGATATTTGTTCAGTGAGTTTTCTCCCCTTTTTATGACTTTTCTTGCCATGGTTGTTAAGTGAAGATGCGCTGGCTGGGAAATTCTTGGAGTTGAAGTCCACAAGTCTTCAATTCTGGGAATTGGAAGTCCTCA